TCTTGTAATATTTCGATAGATATCACCGTTTTCGATTTATTTAAACTCGAAGGTATACATGTATTTTATTGTAATCGTTACATTTCTTAATATTCATCAAGTATGCTTTGGAACTGACACTTGTGTTAGCAATAATATTACAAATTAATGGAAAACTTAATTAATACTTAACATTTAATTAATGGCGAAAATAATATTTCACAACTGTTCAAAATGCCCTCCATGTTGTTGAATACATAATCTAATTCTTTTATTTAGCGAACGCATTAATCCATTTAATGTTACTGGATCGTTTTGTAAATCGGTAAATACTTGTTCAATTTTGTCTCTTAACTCATTTACTGTATTAATTGGAGTGTTATACACTTTTGATTTCAAATAACTCCAGACTGTAAAGTCCATTGGATTAAGATCACAACTACGAGCAGACCAATGAATCGGTGCATCTGCACCCCGGCCTATCCAACTAAACTATCAGGGAAATGTTCATGTAACCACCTTCTACAAATTCTTGTGTAATGTAGTGTAGCACCATCATGCATGAAAAAAATGTTTCTTCGTATTTGTAATGGAATACCTTCCAAAATATCATGTAAAATATTGTCTAGAAAATTGTAATACATGTTACCATTTAAATTTCCGGGAAAGATGTGGTATCCTATGAAACTATTTCCTAAAGTAGCTGCCCAAACGTGTATATTGAAAGTGTGTTGGAAGTGAGTCTCCATTGTAGCCCTTGGATTTTCTTGTAAATGTGGCCTCGTCTGTAAACAGAATGTTGCTTAAAAAATCTGGGGCAGTTTGAAGTTTATTTTGCAATACTTCACAAATATGTAATTGCTCTTCATGCAGAACTCTTAAAAGACTTTGATGGGAAATATTCGTTCTTAATCCTAACCTGCGTGTACTTATTGTGGGGTCATTTATTACAGCATCCAATATTTGCTATTCAACGCGAACATTTCTTGCTTCTCTACGACGACCAGCATATGTATTCCTTTTTTGAAGACAACCGGTTTGTCTCAGTCGTCGTTCATTACTTACAAAAGTCCTGGCATTGGGAATATTTCTGTTTGGATACTTTTCTCTGTAACGTCTTACAGCGGTAGCAGCATTTCCCGAACATTCCCCGAATACTGGAAGTATGTCTGTCATCTCAAAATTTGAATAGTGTGCCATATTGCGTGCAAACAAGTTTAAAAATATAGCAAAAGAGACATGTTAAACAAATTTCACTGTCGAGTACAATAAAAGTGTAGATAAAATAATTTAATTGTTATTAAACGTCACTGACAATTCATAGACTACTTGAGATTAAAGTGTTGTTGCTAACACAAGTGTCAACTCCAAAGCATACTTGATGAATATTAAGAAATGTAACGATTACAATAAAATACATGTATACTTCGAGTTTAAATAAATCAAAAACGGTGATATCTATCGAAATATTACAAGAGTACCTTTTTTGCGTAGAAAAGTCTAAGGAAACAATTTTTAAAATATTTTTTTAAAATATGTAAAAATTTAAAAAAATGTGGCGCAATGACCCCCACTTAACCTTCAAAACTACCCTGTATTTATATAGGATGTGGTAGGTGGTGACATGAAATTAATTATCCTAATGTCTTATAATCACTCCCAAAATATGAACTCCGTATTCAAAACCGTTTGGAAGATATTTGAAAAAATAAGAATTTCAATTCACCCCTTTAAAGGGTTGTATCTCCATTGTTATTCAGTTTTATAAAAAAGTGTACATAAAGAAGTACCCTTATTTTTGGACGTACTATGAGCTCTAGAAATTAATGTATATAATTCTGGACCACCTTGTATATATATATATATATATATATATATATATATATATATATATATATATATATATGTATATATATATATATATATATATATATATATATATGTATATATATATATATATATATATATATATATATTTATATATATATTCATATATAGGTATATATATATATATATATATATATATATATATATAATATATATATATATATATATATGAGATATATATGAAATGTGTATTCGACAGAAAATGAAATATTTTTCAAAAAATTTACTGTTCGACTTAACATTTTTTCCGCCTACATACAAAATTTATTTTTCTTTAAAAATAGTTTTCATTTAATTTCTGGTGCACCTGAATTTTAAATCGTGAATATTTTTTTACTTTTTTTGTTGTTGCAATTAATTACTGTTATTGCTCAATTGGCGCTTATTTATATATGGATTCTCTATTAAATATATCATAACTTGAAACTATTCCAATTTAGTATAACCCATATATCAATTCTGTACTGATAAGTAAAATATCGATTTGTTTTTTTAAACAAACAAATTAACGTATTAAAAGTATTTTAATACTTTAAAAAATCGATAAAAAGCGATTAAATTTAAGAGGTAATTTCAAAATAGAGATTAGTCGATTTCTATAACATGTTATCCATTATTTTTAAGGTATTAAAATATGTATATGTATATACAAAAATATGTATAAAAGTATTACTCCTTTTTTACTATTAAACACTAAAACTTGGATACTTTACTAAAACAACGGAACAACACTTCTCAATACGTAAACAAACTTCAGTTTTTATAGATTGACAGATAAACTATTTAGAACATGGCGGATTCTCACAGAAATTTGGATTGCGAAAAAGCCCTTCGTTTCGCTTCTTGTTGGGTGGTGTATTCTGTGCTGATACTAAAAAGTTATTTAACTGATCTTTTTTGAAAATTCAATTTAACTTAGGGTAAATTTAATATAGCAAAGCGATCATAAATTCATTTATTTGCTCAAGATTACTAAGGTAGATTTTAAAATTGGTTGTTTATTTATTTAATAATTAATTCATGGATATTGATTACATTCATTAGTATGATAAATATTATTTTGTAACATGATATGTTTTGTGTGTGATGAATTCAACTAATTTTTAGTAGCATACGTTTTTTTAATCTTTGATGTCCTTTATATTTCATAATATCGAAAATGTTATAATGTTGTATAAGTTGTTTGGATTTAAAAATAATTTTGTAATATGCAATTACATCCTTCCAAATAAAAAAAAAATTTGAAATTTTTTTTCAAATAACCGATCCACACCGAACATAATTTTTATTTATTACAAATATGATAACTCTTCCGTTCCGTAGAAAAAAAGGTTATTAAGTTTTCAATGTTCATTAGATTTTTAATGTATTTTGTTTTGTGAAAATTTGCTTAAATTGTTTTTTATCGGAAGTTTTATAATATTTTTTGTTATACGAAAAATTGATATTGGATATCGGCAATTTCAGAAAAATTTGCAATTTTTTCCCATTAGAAGGATGTAATTGCATACTAAAACATTGTTTTAATTCCAAACAACTTTTCGTAGTAACAATTTTCGATATTGTGAAAAATATAAAGGTACTTATTTCTTCAGCGAAATTCATATTTATATATCTATAACAAGCGAGTTTCTAAAGCTGGCGCCGCTTCTCGCATCCTAATTTCCAGCGTTTTCTATCGAAGCAATCTTCAGTTGTTAGATCTCTGGCGGTCATTGCATCGTCGACATCGTCTCTCCAGGATCATCTTGGTCTACCTCGTTTTCTTCTAGTTGGCGGAGTCCATTCTTCTATTTTTTTTTGGCCATCTATTTTCCGGCATTCTCTGAAGGTGTCCATACTAATTAAGTCTTTTGGCTTCGATTGTGTCTATTATTCCTAGATCGATTTCCATTTCTCTCCGAATATCTTTGTTTCTCACCCTATCAAGTCTAGTGAGCTGGCAACATCGTCTTCAGTAGTTCATTCCCATGGCCTTAATTTTTGATTTGTTTCTTTGGTTTATTTTCCAGAGTTCGGCGCCGTACAGTCCAATACTTTCTATTATTGTTTTATAAATTCTTCTTTTATTTTCTTTTGTTATTTTTTTATTCCATAATAGTCCGTGTAGCTGTCTGGTGGCTGATCTTGCTTGGACAATCCTGGAATGTATTTCTTCGCTACTTCCTGCTTTTGATGTTATTTGGACTCCCAAGTACTTAAAATTGTCTGTTGGTTTTATAGTTCCCATTTCGATTTGCAGGCTGTCTGGTTTTTCTCCTACAACTAAGTACTCAGTTTTTTGTATATTAATTGTGAGGCCCCATTTGGTGTACTCATCTTCCAGTTTTCTAAGCATGTAGCTTATATCACTCCCGTCTTCAGCTAGAATGGCTTGGTCGTCAGCGAAATGTATCGTGTACAATATATCATCTCCGATTGGGATGCCCATATTGCAGCACTTTCTTCTCCACATTGAGAGTGCCTCATTTAGATATATTTTGAAGAGTGTAGGTGCTATGCAGCAGCCTTGCTTTAGGCCCTTACTAATAGGAATTTCTCTAGTTAATCTATTTCCAGTTTTAATGTTTGCCGTCATATTTTTGTAGAGCTGTTGTACTGCTTGTATATTTTTTTTGCTTATTCCTTGTTTTTCCATTGCTACCCAAAGCATTGAAAGTGGTACACTATCGTATGCCTTTGTCAGATCTATAAAGACTATATGAGTTGAAAGGTTGTGGGCTAATCTTTTCTCGATAACTTGCTTTAGAGAGAATATACTGTCCATGCAGGATCTGCCTGCACGAAAGCCATTCTGTTCTTCTACATCTGTCATCTCTTTTTCAATTTTATTTTTTTGAATTTTTCAAAATTCATATTTTTAAACATATTTTGTACAACATTGATACAATTTGATATCATATGGTTGCATAATAAAAAAATATCCCATATGATGCCGACTTAATTAGATACACTGTATATAATTTGCATAATTTGCTAATGAAAGTTTTTTATTAATTAGCTAAACAAATATTTGGCTAAGAAAATACATATACTTTTTTAATCCTTATAGCAAACAATTTAACTAACAGGTCATTGCTTTCTGATAAATTACCCATTAATAAAAAATATGAGAAAATCAAATTGATACTTACTTCATTTGTAAACTATTAAATCTAACGAGGTCGCCCTGTTGTACGGAATCTAATACTTCTTCGGCCAACAATTTGGATTCATAAAACTCTTCCTTAATTTCATACTCCGGAAAATTAGAAAACACGGACGAAAGAAATACAAAAGTCTGCAATAATTTTGAAACATACATTAATACAATTTATTTTAGTTTATTCAAATTAAATTTCATTTATAGATATTTCAAGAATATTTTGGGATTCATCGGATTCTTAAATATGTTCTGATATTGTTTTCTTGTATCATGTTTACATTAACTATTGTATTTATATTGAAGCAAATACATTGAGTGTAATAAAAATTATTAACATTATAAGAACATTTAATTATCCAACATTTGTGGATGCCGCATATTTGTGGGTTTCTTTATAAATGCATATTCTATTCATATTTACTTGATTAAGAGCATATTGGCACATATTTGAAAATATTACATAAACAAAATGGTTTTCTGTACATATATACATATGTATAGAAAACCCTATGTATATATTTCTATACATATAATAGTTTCTTGGAATTATTCATAGCAGGTACTAGGTAAGGTAGCTACGAAATAATTTTATTACAAATATCTACTAAATCTACAAGTTTTATTGTTTGGAAAAACCCATCTGGGAATTATTTATCAGAGGAATAGGGCCAACATGCAGATAGGTATTATCACAGACCACTAATAACTAGACGTTTCACGTAGGTAGCTCAAGGTCAAATTAAACTTAATGTCATTTGTAGTACCGATACTAATCTTCAGATTTGTGGTGTGTATCATGATACTAATCTTCAGATGTCGCTTTACTCTGTCTCTAGTTTTACTCTGCAGTTTAGGTTTAGAACACAACTAAGAAAAGTATTATAATTGTCAATCGCCAATTGTCATATTAGCGTCTATATTTTGATTTTGTTAGTGTTAGTTTGTAAATTACAAAACGACTCACCTACCTCAGTGATCTACGTTTTAAATGTTCCTGGCGGTGTTCAAATAGTATTTTGCAGATTAATAATAATCAGTTAAATATGGTTTTTCACAATAAATGTTGTATCCTACAATGTACTAATTCGTCATTAATTAGATATACCTTTCCAAATCCACGATGAAGACATTACACGATTTAGGAAGTGGCTTAGTGTTATAAACAATCCTAATTTAGATATGATGAATGCTAGTACAGTTTATAAAACAAAACGAATCTGCCACAGACACGTTGAAGATAAGTTTGTTTCTTCATGGAGTCATAAATTGTATAAAAATGCAATTCCTAGCTTACATTTGTATGGTGAGTCCAATAAATATTTGATATTAGAGAACAAATAACTGATTGATGAACTTAAATCTGCAACTTCTTTCCTTGAGTTCCGTAAAAGAACAAAATCCTATCTATCTGAAAGATCATATTATTCAGTAGAAGAGTTTCTTAACGAATAGTGTTATGTACAAGTAACTAAACAATTTGTATAAATATATATTTGAGTATCACATGCAGAAACTTGTATTAAAATGTATTAGTTCATAAGGATTTATTATGCAATTTATTTAAATTTTGCAATACATTGTGTATTTTATTATTTTTTATTTTGTGATATTGACGATTTATGTAATTTCAGTAAATTTTAAATTGCTATTTTTCTGACTTTTTTGTAAGCTTTTTCCATAAAATTGTACAATTTTCAGTGATAATAGCATATTTTTATTCTATATTAAATTACAAAATTGTTTTACAAGTATTAAATAAATAAATAATTTACATTTTGTTTTATTTTTCCTAAATTGTATTGTGTATATTTGAAATTAAAAATGTCATGCATTTTTTTTTTCAAATATACCAAATTATATTTAAAAATTTTAAACTTTATTTTAAATAAAGTTTAAAATTTTTAAATATAATTTGGTATATTTGAAAAAAAAAATGCATGACATTTTTAATTTCAAATAAATTTTCCCACCAAAATTAAAATTTGAATTTCCCGCGTAATTTCTCGCTTGAATTAGTTCCGATACTAATCTTATGGAGCGCTGAATTTCATATCCAACTAAAGTATTGTCGTGGAACATCTAGGGAGGTAGGTGATCTGTGGGTATTATACAGTAAATTCATTTTTAAATCTCTTTACCAGCTGGCAAAGCAACTTGTGATTGTGAATATTGTGCTTATAAAATAAAAATAATTTTCTTTTTGAAAATATGCCGAAAGTAGCGAAACAAAAATCATGTCTATTGCGGAGTTGGGTTGGTGGCAACAGTGAAATGAAGATTATAGACAATGAAAGTGTGTTCTGTACTATTTGTTATAAAAATGTGAGTCCACTTATATTTTAACGATTCAAAAATTTAATTTAAAATCTCATTTTTGCAAGAAAATCGGTATACCTATACTAAACAACTAACAGTTTGACTATTGGCGGTAGTTTCAGTTTCAAGAAAAAAAATATAAGTTATCTTAAAAATTTGAAGTCCATATTATTGCATTAGACTCCTATTTACTAAACCGTTTTATTACAGATTCCATGTGAAAAAAATTCCAAATTTCCCAACACCTGAAAACGGCTCTCCACCGATTTAAACTATCTAATGGATTCAAGAAACCATGACAGCAGCTTCTGCAGAACAACATTATTCAAAATCGTCACACATCGACGAGGCAAGAAATGTTTGCAAAACCTGTATGCAATTTTTTTGTAAGTCGCAATATTCCACTGTATAAATTGGATAGCAAGGTGTGTCAAAATTTTTTGAAAACATATAAAGTTGAAAATAATTCAGTACATGTACCAAGTTCTTCAACTCTTCGCAAAAAATATGTGGGGGCATCTTACAAAGACGTTATTGAAGACATTAAAAGCCGGGTAAGAGATGAATATCTCTGATGAATATATCTGTCGACGAGACTACTGACGCCAAGGGTAGGCAAATCACGAATTTAATTATTGGATGTAACAATAAAACACTGAAAACTTTGTTTTCAAACTTCCACAAAATTTATTTTAACTATTATCACTACAGCTGTTTCGGCTGATAGCCTTTCTCAAGTGATCTATTTTTGGCTTGGGTTTACAAATTTATAGTCTCTAATGAAATAGGTTGAGGAGGGGAGAACTGTTTGTCTCAAGTTGGTCATTCAGAATTATATCTGTGTTTTTTAATTTGTTGATTTCCATAGATTCTAACAAAGATAGCTTAAGGCCTTTATTTTGAATGTGAAGAATTTTAAATTTGTCATTAAAAGAATGATTATGATCTAGAAGGTGAAGTGCGTATGTCGAATCTGTTTTTCTATTCTTGAAAGCCCTTTTATGTTCTGCTATTCGTTTCTCAAAGTTTCTACCAGTTTGACCGATGTAAGTTTTTGGGCAGTCGCCACATTGAAGTTTATACACACCACTATTTAAGTGTTTTTTATTTTGGCTCTTGTTATTTTTAATATATTTACCTAGGTTGTTATTTGTTCGGAAAGCTGGTGTTATTCCTTTCTTTTTTATGTGTTTGGCAATTTTTGTTGTTATTTTGCCTGTATATGTAATCGAGCAGAAGGTACTGGGTTTTTTCTCTGGTGGTGGAAATACTATTTTCAGGGCTTTCTTGTATAGTTTTTGATTTAACATTTTATTAATTGTTTGTTCGTTGTATCCGTTGTTTACTGCTATTTGCTTAATTATATTTAATTCTGTCTCAAAGTTGTCTTTTGACATCGGAATTTCTGTTAATCTATGTAACATACTATGATAAGCTGCCAGTTTATGTTGTGTTGGATGGGATGATGAGTTGTGTATAGTCGTGTCAGTATGGGTAGGTTTGTGAAATATGGAGAAGTCATGTTTGTTTTTAAGTCTGCTAATTTTTACATCTAAAAAATTTATGCATTGATTTTGTTCTGTTTCTATTGTAAATTCATTGTAAAAATTAGCAGACTTCAAAACAAACATGACTTCTCCATATTTCACAAACCTACCCATACTGACACGACTATACACAACTCATCATCCCATCCAACACAACATAAACTGGCAGCTTATCATAGTATGTTACATAGATTAACAGAAATTCCGATGTCAAAAGACAACTTTGAGACAGAATTAAATATAATTAAACAAATAGCAGTAAACAACGGATACAACGAACAAACAATTAATAAAATGTTAAATCAAAAACTACACAAGAAAGCCCTGAAAATAGTATTTCCACCACCAGAGAAAAAACCCAGTACCTTCTGCTCGATTACGTATACAGCCAAAATAACAACAAAAATTGCCAAACACATCAAAAAGAAAGGAATAACACCAGCTTTCCGAACAAATAACAACCTAGGTAAATATATTAAAAATAACAAGAGCCAAAATAAAAAACACTTAAATAGTGGTGTGTATAAACTTCAATGTGGCGACTGCCCAAAAACTTACATCGGTCAAACTGGTAGAAACTTTGAGAAACGAATACCAGAACATAAAAGGGCTTTCAAGAATAGAAAAACAGATTCGACATACGCACTTCACCTTCTATATCATAATCATTCTTTTAATGACAAATTTAAAATTCTTCACATTCAAAATAAAGGCCTTAAGCTATCTTTGTTAGAATCTATGGAAATCAACAAATTAAAAAACACAGATATAATTCTGAATGACCAACTTGAGACAAACAGTTCTCCCCTCCTCAACCTATTTCATTAGAGACTATAAATTTGTAAACCCAAGCCAAAAATAGATCACTTGAGAAAGGCTATCAGCCGAAACAGATGTAGTGATAATAGTTTAAATAAATTTTGTGGAAGTTTGAAAACAAAGTTTTCAGTGTTTTATTGTTACATAAAATGAATTTCCATCAAGTAACGGTCGAATCCATCAATTATTTAATTATTGGAGTTTTAAACAGTTCATCTGATGACTGTGTGAAGTCGTATTGAATCAGCGTAAAATGTTTAGAAAAAACCAACTATGCAACAATTGCTCGATTTGTTAATGAATCTTTGACAAATTTCTTTTTACCGAATCAAGTATTTTCTGAAAAAATTTTACTACTAGTTAGCGATGTCGGTTCCTACATGGTTAAAGATGTTACTAGTCTTAAGATTTTTTTCCGAATTTGATTCATTGTACATGCTTAGCGCATGGTTT